GATCTACTCACTGCTGCTGAGCAAAGTCGTACCGAGCTGGACCAGCTCAAGCAAGAGAATACCCATCTTGAAACTCGTGCCTCGGATGCAGAGCGTAAGGTCAATATGCTTCTGGAGCAGGTTCAGACATCCGTTGGTCATTATCGCCGTCAATCCCAGCATGGGCAAGGTACCAATGGAATCTCGCGCACACACAGTAACGCCTCTAGCAACACAGTCAGCGGAGGCACCGGGCGGGCACGAGCTGATAGCAATGTCTCGCAGGACTCTACCTTCCCTGACAACCGTGGTTCTATGGCTTTGGACTCCCTTGCCAACGAGTTGGACGCTTTGCGCAGTCACTGGGAAAGCACCAACCGCAATTACCGTCTGAGCAGCCAGCTGGATCTGGAGCGGACTCCCACCAAGGATAATAGCGAGGGACCCGCACTGATGAGTGATAGCTTGGCAGAATGGAGGAGAAGACTGGACGATGATGACCGGGTTGGATTTGATGTGCAAACCAAGCCATTGAACACTAAAGCTGCACACTCCGAACACGCTAACGTGATCTAAAGATCCCTCCCCATTGTTCTATGACCATGTGCCCTAAGATATGTCAATTTGCACCGTCGAAGCGTTCTGCATGTGTATTTGCCAACACTTCCTTCTTTCCTCCCCGTGTTTTCTACTCTCGTTTCTATGTATGATGGGTGCTTTTTGAACCCTCTGTGTCTACACCGATGCACGATGTGTTTTTCTGATTCTCTTTCACCACTGCGCTCATTTGTTTCCCCCATCTCCCGTTTTGATTTCACCCCCCGGCTGCCCTTTTTATACCCCGGTTTTCTGATGTTCATTGGACTCTGGCTGTACCACTAGCATATTGCACGCGGATTCCTTGTTCATCCATAGTCAAAAAATCGTTCTAGTTGCCCCGTGGAGGCTCTTATTTTTCACAAGACCATTCTGACCAGGATATCCTGAAGTTCTGTAAACTCGACACACCGGGGTGCCCAGGCCCACGGGAATGATGACCTGTCATCAGCCCGATTCGATAGGTACAAGCTTACTCCGCATCGATGAGATTTATGATGTAGAACTACTTTATAGTATATTGATTTGTATGGTAGTAAGCCAGTTGCAAGTGTAATACCCCACGTTTGCCCCCAATAGATTGAGACAAGTTTCCCATTGAGGAAAATCGCGCATACTATAGGATCTGGTATTGTTGATTCAGGATCTATAAGTAAGAACACGGATATTATGTTTCGCAAGGAGCAATATGATTGTATATTATTCAAATGAGAATCATTATATCTTAGATTGAGTATAAATCCAATATTAAGAGTCTATTGATACCTGGTTATGGTTATTGTGTGCACCTTTCATTGATCATATACCGGTCAGCTGAGGGAGTACATCGCCACCAGTGAGAACGGTGTAAGCTTACATGGGTTTTATAAGATAGATATAATCAATTCATGCTCCTTTGTATCAATTTCGATCAAGTTGTATATCATTTTTTTATATGAATCTATACACAGTATGTATAGAATGTAAAAAAAAAAGTAGTATAGATGCCCAATACCAAACTTACGATACCACGCCCAATGACACCCGAGGTGCCGTCCCCTGCATATTAAACTTGAGAACCATCTTTAAGAAAAAATACCCTACCTTGCTCACCGACTCTCCCCCTTCTCCTTCTCACATATATCTCTTCCTTTAAAGGCTTCTTTAAAGACTGTTCTTGATCTCTTCAGTTTCTCGAATTTCACCGGATCTTCCCGGATCTCCTTTTCCTTGAGAGTTGATTATCTCACGGTCGCCATCTCTTTGATCCCGTTATCTTCAGGTATGTCTAGATGCTTTTTTTTATATTTTACCTTTTTACCTTTTACCTTTGACTTTCAGTTTCCTGTTACATCCCAGTTGCCTACTTTCATTGCATCATTTGAAGTTATTGGAGTTGATCTGGCCCTTCCCAACGAAGTTGCCTGAGGCTTGACAACCCCTCTCATTTCCTGTTTCCCTCACGCCTCCCTCTTCCTTACCTCTTTTACACCCCTTTATCCACTATCAATCTCAGCTTTCCATATTACTGCTTCAACGGGATTCGAAACACTAATATTCTCACAGCAAGAATCTCACAGCTAACCGCTGTGCCCCCATCGGTTCAACATGACGACCATGGTCAGTGTTAGCCACCCCCGATTTCTTTGTTTCATTCTTTACTCGGAGACTTTCAAGTGACTTGATTATTACGCTCGGATTATACCATGATCTTCTTATTGTCAACCTCCGAATCACGCGTTTTGCTGACTTGGCCTGCAGGATTTGCGAGTCGGTAACAAGTACCGCATTGGCCGTAAGATCGGAAGTGGCAGTTTCGGTGACATCTATCTCGGTATGGATACAAATCTGACTTTGCCCCCCGCACAACAACTCATAGCTCCTAGGAACGAACATCATCTCCGGTGAGGAGATTGCCATCAAGCTCGAGAGCGTCAAGGCCAAGCACCCCCAACTCGAATATGAAGCCCGTGTCTACAAGTCGCTCGCCGGTGGTGTCGGTATTCCCTTCGTTCGTTGGTTCGGTACGGAATGTGATTACAATGCTATGGTCATCGATCTGCTGGGACCCAGTCTGGAGGACCTGTTCAACTTCTGCAACCGCAAGTTCTCACTGAAGACCGTCCTGCTTCTCGCCGATCAGCTCATCTCCCGCATCGAATACATCCACGCCAAGTCCTTCATCCACCGTGATATTAAGCCCGATAACTTCCTTATGGGCATTGGCAAGCGTGGCAACCAGGTCAACGTGATTGATTTCGGCCTTGCGAAGAAATACCGTGACCCCAAGACTCACTTCCACATCCCTTACCGTGAGAACAAGAACCTCACTGGAACTGCCCGTTACGCCAGTATCAACACCCATCTCGGTGTTGAGCAGTCCCGACGTGATGACATGGAATCTCTGGGCTATGTCATGCTCTACTTCTGCCGTGGCTCCCTCCCCTGGCAGGGTCTGAAGGCTGCTACTAAGAAGCAGAAGTACGACCGCATTATGGAGAAGAAGATGACCACCCCCACTGAAGTCCTGTGCCGTGGTTTCCCCAACGAGTTCGCCATTTACCTGAACTACACCCGTTCGCTGCGCTTCGACGACAAGCCCGATTACTCCTACCTGCGCAAGATTTTCCGCGACCTCTTCGTCCGCGAGTCCTTCCAGTACGACTACGTCTTCGACTGGACCGTTTACAAGTACCAGAAGAACGCCGCCATGATCGTGGACGCTTCCAAGAAGGATAAGGATGCGGAGGATCAGCAGCGCCGCCAGGCTCTGCCTGCTGCTGGCCCGATGGGAGCCAGTGCCGCCGCCAAGCCCGGTGCCATCTCCAGCCAGCGTCGTAAGGTCGTCGAACGCGGCACCCTCGACACTCCGGACACCAACCGTGCCGTGGGAGGTAGTGACAGGATGTGAGTACATGAAACCTTGGTTCCGAGTAGGGAACCCCTTCTTTCTTAACTCCTACGTTGAGTGATTTGCTTTTCGTGACGCTGGCGTGGAGGACCCTTATGTTCTGAATCTGACTAATCGCATAGTCTTCGGCGTTAGGCTACGTTCTGCCTCGAAAGGTGCTGCTTTGGGTTATGGACCTTCTGGTGGCCGTTCGAAGCGGGATGAAGGAGCGGAGGCCCAATGGTACTAATCGTGTTTACACGACGGTGAGGCTATGCTTGGCATGCCTCGTGTCTGTTCACATTCTTATCTACTAAGAAACCGGGGACCCGTTCATGTCGCCTTGGAGCGGACCATGTCGCACTCGCCTTCTCGGATATTTCTTTATTTTTCTTTCTTTCTTGGATCTCTCTTCATTCTGCACTCCCCCGACATCAGCCCTCCTATCCCGTTTTCGATCAGATTTCGATCTCAGCCGTTTCGATTCGCCTCTGTTTATCGCCTGCTCGCCTTCAGCCCCATGAAACCTTTGCCGATTGGGTGGTCAAACTTGCGCTGAGTCTGCGACAAACATTGTCGACTATTTTCTGTCTTTTCGGATTTTTTTTGTACCCGTTCTGCGGGACAACCGATTACACGTCTCGAAACGCTTCTGATATTGTGGCTTATTTTTACGTCTTCGCCCTTTGGTTTCTCTTTACAACCTGGCATCTTCGGTCAGAATGACCAGAGGGCAAGACTAAGGGAGATGCAAACGACGGCGTCAGACCGCAATTCTTTTTGTCGGAATGTTTAACCGCTGGTACTGAAGATCCTTGAATGCATCCTCGGATGCGCTGCCCATCATTGCTTACCCCTTTTCTTTACTCATGATTTTCTCTGCCCTTGCTCTTTTCTTTTCTTTGTTGCGTTTGCCTGGCGATTAATTTGTGAACTATCGACGCTCAATGGGGACGAGGTGTGTGGCCTTCAATCTGGCCAAGGGAAGGGACGGGGTGGGGGACAGCTTTCGGGAGTATTGCTTTGCAGGCTTTCTGGATTTCTGCTCAAGCTACATTGCAGAAATTATTGTTACAGAAGCTCTCTAATGCAATCCCGCTTGCGGGGGAAGCTTGTGTGGTTGGCGACGGACATTGGTTAGGGTCGCTTCCGGGGTGGTATGCGTCGATTTGTGTCAAGTTATTTCTCTTAGCTCTCTACATTGCACCTTCAATTTGCTTACTCTCTGAAATGTCCACTGGCCTGGAATTTGGCCCTTTGAGCATCCGTACTTTCCGGTCCCAAAAGAGTAAGAAAAACGGTGAGATCATCAAAAGTCTGGCCCACTGAACACTGAAATTGATATTTTGGAGAAGGATTCTATTTGATATGTAAACCTTGTAAGTATACGTTGAATTGGGATATAAGAGTGTCATGACATGGAAATCTTGTAACTCGTACACGGAACGCCGGTACATGAAACTTGAGCAGATAATAGATTTTCATCATTTTTCACCTTCACCTCCTAACTTTCCGACAAGCTCTAGAGACCTTGGGAACTGTCTAAAATTCCGTAATGGATTACCCTTTCTATGATCCTCGATCACAGCCCAGCTTCTCGCTCTATGGGTTGCCTACCCCCGACCAACCCCATGCGCAACCAGACACATTCGCCCCTCTGGTGAGTTCATTGTTCCCATTCAAGACATGTCACTAATAGACTAGAATAATTATCAGAACTTCCCTGACTATAACCCATCATTCCCCGACCCCTCCTTTGTTCCGCCACCCCATTCACCGCCAGAATCCGTCAAGCATTCTGCTTCGAGCAGTGATGCCAATCAGCATACACACCTCACCTCATTCGATGATGAAACCCAATTCGCAGACCCAACCTTAGGAAGGAGCAGCAGCGAGGAAAAGGAATCAGCGCCCGCACAAAGCAAGCGCAAGGCCCAAAACCGAGCAGCGTATGTGATCTATCAAACCCACGTGGCGTGGACCCAAGAGTCATCCCCACGCAAACACTAACATCCATTCGTTACACAAGTCAACGAGCATTTCGAGAGCGCAAGGAACAGCATGTCCGCGACCTCGAAGACAAAGTAAACACCCTCGAACAAGCATCCAACACCTTACAAGTCGACAACGAGCGTCTCAAGCGCGAACTAGCCCGCTACACAACCGAGAATGAAATCCTGCGCGCGACATCACAAGCCAACCGCGGACAGGTCGCAAACGAGAACCCGGAACCAACAGTCACAGGTCCAATGAAGTACTCCCCCACAGACTTTTACACCACCTTCATGCCGAACGGCCCCGGCACGCCTCGAAGCCCGCACCACCGTCTGACCGTGTGTCCGATTACCGGCGAGAGATTGCTAGATGCGGGTGCGACGTGGGACCTTATTCAGAAACATGAGCTGTTTGAGCGCGGCCAGCTTGATATTGGTGATATTACGGAGCGGTTGAAGGGGATGTCACAGTGTGATGGACAAGGACCTGCTTTTAAAGAAGGTCAGGTTCGCCGGGCTATTGAGGAGAGTGTGGCTGTTGGTCGTGATGAGTTTATTTGATGATTTGAATGTTTGGGGGTATTTTATACGTGTATCCGCCGATATGGTTATGATTTTGGTGTTTTTTGAGCGTTGGGGTTGATGGGGTCAATAGGATGAATGGCGATTATAGTATTTGATCCGTTTATATATTTGATTTGGTTTTTAGGAGCGTTTGAGCTATTCATACTTGGGGTTTGGCTTTGTTTATGGTCATTGCAATTGCCTACATAGGTTGCAAATTGAGTTGGATTTGATATCTTGGGCATTGATAGTCGATAGCTAGTTGTCATTATGAATCCTAGGGCCATACCTATGTTAACAAACTCTCTATATGTTGATGTCCAGATAGCCAGCTCCAAAGTCCATCACTACAGGTATAGATATAATAGATATAGGCAACTCAATTCAAATCGAGACCAACAAGTAAGTTACATCTTGCAGCATCATTCTTTTGGCTATCGCCGACATAGAAAGGGGGTCATCATCTTTTGGATACCTCCATAATATACAAACAAACCTGATCATAATATTTGCAGTAATCAATCGCAACCTTGAAGGAAATCAATCCCAGTCATCATCATAATCTTCAACGTTCAGGTCATCGTCCTTTTTGTAGTCGTCCTCGTTATCCCGCTTCTTCAGACGAACATCACCCTCCTTCAAAGCACCAATTTCCACAAGCAAACGCTCAATATCTATGCATTTGATTAGTGCACCATCATTATTGAATTCTTGCTTCAAACAAAACTCACCTTCAACCTTGGTCCGAGGACCCTTCAACTGCTGAAGCGTAATGAGCTGCTTCTTGATCTCGGTATCCTTGTATGCCAAGATCGTGGGCGTGTTCTTCTCTGGATAACCTTCAATACACATATCGGCACGAATCTCGCAGAACTTAATATCGCCGAATTTGGCAGCAAGCTCCCGCCAGAGCTCTGTCAACACGCGCGATTCAACGTTTCCGCCCATCGATGTGAGGTTGACTAGTACAAAAGCACTGTTCGATGCTTCTGTCACCTCTCGGGCATAATCGACTTTCTGAAGTGGGAAGACCTGGTTGAAGTGGCTGGTTTTTGGAGGGTGGAGAGCTCCGCGAATCGTTTTTGCCTGTTTAATCGGACTGTGAGCAAAAGGGGACGCCCTTGGGGTATATAAATAATTAGATAACAAGCTTACCGATAACTCTGGAGAAACTCGTCATCTTCTTCATCCTCCAGTGCGTCCAACTCGTCAAGGTCTTTGTCCTCAAGTCGGTTCTCGTGCGCTCTGTGCTGTGCGGCAATCAGAGCTTCTTGGATCAGAGGCTCAGGGTCTTTGGGCTTTTCGGGAATAATGCCATGTTGGCGGAGGATATCGTTCCTATACAATATTCAATAATTGGTTAGCACACCTAGTTTATACCCCGGCGGGGGTATGTGCAAGTAATAGGCTTACCACTCGGTATCCTCATTAGGGTCGACTTCAACCTGCATGGTGGATTGAAATGATCAAAGATGTATAGATCCAGTTCAATTCAAGCGAAATATGGAGAAAATGAGGGGAGTTAGAGGGATAAATGCGCTGCCTTCAATCATGATGCCACCTGTTTGCAGTGTTTGGTTCGGGCCAAACAACACAGAAGGCCACCTTCAACTTGTCCCTAATAGCCAAGTTCTTTTGAGGTTCGAGATTCATTACCACCTTTACCTCAATCATATTCTCGTTATTTTCCTCCGATTTACCGTTAAGCTCTCAATTCCTGGGTGGCTATGCGAATGCTGTAGTCGCCTACACCGCCCTACCCTGCTTCTGTGTACTCGACCCGTGTCCCAATTGCACCAACTCCACCTTTCTAATACGACAGCAACCACTCATTGCTGGTGCGATACCAGCTGCTGGGCAAGATGAGTTACATGAAGAAAAACGAAGATGAGGACCAGGTCATGATCAAGCTTGATCGGACCTCCGTTTTCCAAGATGGTGTGCAATCAACAAGACCCCCTGGCGCCTCCATGCGCTGTACATATTCAATGCTGACTAGATAATTCTCCTAGCACGCCTATTCAATTCCTCTCCTATCTCACCGCGAACATGCCGAACGTTACTCACCAAGATTGCTGTCCTCATGTTCACCGGGGAGCAGTTCCCTACGAATGAAGCCACCACCCTCTTCTTCGGAATCTCCAAGCTCTTCCAGAACAAAGACCCGTCGCTGCGGCAAATGGTGTACCTGATCTTGAAGGAGCTGGCTGGCACCGCCGAAGATGTGATCATGTCGACAAGTATCATTATGAAGGACACTGCAATGGGAAGCGATGTTTTGTACCGGGCCAATGCCATCAGAGCGCTCTGCCGCATTATTGATGTAGGTTGTCGGTTGCGAGGACCTCAATGGTCGAGGGGATTTGCTGACAATTGCAAAAGGGTTCCACAGTGCAGGGTATCGAGCGACTTATCAAGACCGCCATTGTTGACAAGACCCCGTCGGTGTCCTCCGCGGCCTTGGTCTCTTCCTACCACCTCCTCCCTATTGCGCGCGACGTTGTCCGGAGATGGCAGAGCGAAACACAGGAAGCTGCCTCGTCATCGAAATCATCAACCGGGTTCCTTGGTTTCTCCTCGGGCTCACAGAGCCACGCCATCTCTAACTCGAATTTCATGACACAGTACCATGCCATCGGTCTTTTGTACCAGATGCGCTCGCACGACCGCATGTCTTTGGTCAAGATGGTACAGCAGTACGGCGCTGCAGGTGTGGTCAAGAGCCCGGCTGCTCTGGTCTTGTTGGTACGTCTGGCGGCCAAATTGGCCGAGGAGGACCAAGGTCTCCGGAAACCCATGATGCAGATGTTGGATGGCTGGCTCCGCCACAAGCATGAGATGGTCAACTTCGAGGCGGCCAAGGCTATTTGCGATATGCGCGATATCACCGATGCCGAGGCAACACAGGCAGTCCACGTTCTCCAGCTCTTCCTGTCCTCCCCCCGGGCGATCACCAAGTTCGCAGCCATTCGTATCCTACACAGCTTCGCCTCTTTCAAGCCACACGTCGTCAATGTCTGCAACCCCGATATTGAGTCCCTCATCTCCAACTCGAACCGCTCTATTGCCACGTTCGCCATTACGACACTGCTCAAGACCGGTAACGAAGCCAGCGTCGACCGTCTGATGAAGCAAATCTCCGGCTTCATGGCTGATATCACCGACGAGTTCAAGGTCACTATTGTTGAGGCCATTCGCACTTTGTGTTTGAAGTTCCCCAGCAAGCAGGCCGGTATGCTCGTTTTCCTGAGTGGTATCTTGCGCGACGAGGGTGGATACGAGTTCAAGCGCACTGTTGTTGAGAGCATGTTCGATTTGATCAAGTTTGTCCCAGAAAGCAAAGAGGATGCGCTTGCCCACCTCTGCGAGTTCATTGAGGACTGCGAGTTCACCAAGCTCTCGGTTAGAATCCTGCACCTGCTTGGTACTGAGGGCCCTAAGACTAGCCACCCCACCAAGTATATCCGCTACATCTACAACCGCGTCGTATTGGAGAATGCCATCGTACGCGCCGCTGCTGTCACCGCATTGGCCAAGTTCGGTGTTGGCCAGAAGGACCCCGAAGTCAAGTCTAGCGTTCATGTTCTCCTCACCCGTTGTCTTGATGACACCGACGACGAGGTGCGAGACCGTGCTGCGCTTAACCTGCGTCTGATGGGCGAAGAGGACGAGTCGGCGAGCGCTTTCATTAAGAACGGTAAGACCTTATTCATGATTGACAATGGTACATTTACTAATGGTTCTAGACTCAATGTATTCCCTTTCCACGTTTGAACACCAGCTCGTCATGTACGTGACATCTGGTGACAAGGAGACCTTCGCCACTGCTTTCGATGTTGCCACCATTCCGGTTGTCTCACACGAGCAGGCCCTGGCCGAAGAGAGGACCAAGAAGCTCACCTCAGCCACTCCCACTCTCAAGGCCCCTTCGACAGGTCCCCCGAAGGGCAAGGCAGCCGCCGGTTTGGCCGAAGCGGCCAGCGCCTCTGCCACCCAGAAATACGCAGAGCAACTTATGCAATACCCCGATATCAAGGCATACGGTGTTTTGCTCAAGTCCTCTGCCCCTGTCGAGCTTTCCGAGAGCGAAACCGAATATGTTGTTACGGCCGTCAAGCACATTTTCAAGGAGCACATCGTGGTGCAATATGACATTAAGAACACACTTCCGGATACCCTTCTCGAGAATGTTACCGTGGTCGCCACGCCAGAGGAAGAGGATGTATTGGAGGACGACTTCATCATCCCTGCCCCCAAGCTGCCCACAAACGAGCCCGGTGTTGTCTATGTTGCTTTCAAGAAGCTCACCGGCGAGAACAGCGTCCCCGTCACCTCCTTTACAAATATCCTCAAGTTCACCAGCAAAGAAATCGACCCTGCAAGCGGCGAGCCCGAGGACAGTGGCTATGACGACGAGTACCAGGTGGAGGATCTCGAGCTGACAGGCAGCGATTATATCATCCCCACATTCGCCGGCAGCTTCGACCACGTCTGGGAACAGACCGGTGCCAACGGCGAGGAGGAAAGCGAAACCCTGCAGCTCAGCAACATGAAGGGTATCAACGGTATGTACAAGTCCTATCTATCTTTCTTTCATGTAAATACTCATGCTAATCCTTCCAACAGATGCCACGGAACAACTGATCTCAGCGCTATCTCTGCAGCCTCTCGAAGGCACCGATATCGCCCTCAACAGCAGCACACACACGCTCAAGCTGTTCGGCAAGACCGTCTCCGGCGGCCGTGTCGCTTCTCTCATCAAGATGGCCTACTCCAGCAAGGCTGGTGTCACTACCAAGATCACCGTCCGGGCAGAAGAGGAGGGCGTTGCTGCGGCTGTGATTGCTTCTGTGTCTTAATCTCTCCATTTGTTTTTCTTTTTGTTGTTACGTGCTTAATCCTGGTTGGGGGGACAAGAGCGTGTTCTTTTTTCATGTGTCTTGGTTCGTTAGATTGCGTCGTCCACCCCTCAAAACTTGTCAATGCAACTTTTCATCCAAATATCATATCACATTTATGTCTATTGGTGTTTCTGATTTTTCTTCGCTGTAGCAGCTACTGGCATATAGACCTTAACCTGTAAGTTTAATAGTAGACAATAAGCTGCTTGACTCACCAGACTCCAGGGTGTTTGATTTATACTCAAAGTAGGATATTACTACCAAGGCAAAACATGTATGAAAGAAAAGAAAAATATTTTGTTTTTATATGCTTGTAATGTTATGAGATAGTGCCATACAGTGCAAAATCAAGGACGCAGACGCTGAGGGTCACGGGGGAACAGCGAAGCCAAACGGACATTAGGCAAGCCAAGGAAGAACATAACAATACGGTTAAGACCAAGACCACCACCAGCGTGAGGGGGACAGCCCTGACGGAAAGCATTGAGGTAATCCTCGAAGCCTTCCTGGTTAGGCTCAAGACCCTTAGCACGCATAGACTCCTCCAACTCCTTGATATCGTTGATACGCTGGGCACCGGACATGATCTCCTCACCACGCATGAAGAAATCGTACGAGTTAGAGAAACGCTTGTCGTTGGGATCGGCCTTGGTGTAGAAAGGACGGACGGCCATGGGGAACTTGTCGAGGACGTAGAAGTCGGTGTCGTACTTGTCGCGGATGATCTGGCCGAGCTGCTTCTCCATTGCGGTGGAGAAGTCGTTCTCGAAGCGCTCTTGCTCGGAGACGTCGACGCCGGCTTCCTTCAGGAGGGCGACTCCGTCCATGTAGTTCATGCGCAGGGCCTTGCCGTCCTTGGGGAGCTTGAAGTCGCCGGCCTTGGGGTAGGACTTTTGGATGGTGGCGATTTGGGAGGCGTAGCGCTCCTTGAGCTGGGTGAGGATGAAGACGAGGAGGTCTTCGGCAAATTCAAGGACCTCGTGGTAGTGACCGCGGAAGGTCTTTTCGAAATCGAGACCGGAGAACTGTAGGACATGTTAGAATCTGTTTTTCTTGTTTGAGCTTATATATTAGGAAATCATACCTCGGTCAAGTGACGGTGGGTGTTGCTGTCCTCCGCACGGAAAACGGGGGCGATTTCAAAGACGTTCTCCATATCACCAGCGATACACATCTGCTTGTAGAGCTGGGGAGACTGGGCCAAGTAGGCAGTGCGCTTGAAGTACTTCACCTCGAAGACACCGCTACCACCTTCAGTGGCAGCACCGACAAGCTTAGGTGTGGAGATCCATCGAGAGCCACTCTTGATCATGTACTCAGCGAAGAGCTGGGACACACCGCTGGAAATCCAGGTGATGGCCTGGCTAGTCTCGGTCTGCAGATCGAGGACTCGGTTGTCGAGGCGGGTCTTGAGGGTGACGATGGGAGTACCCTCGGAGTCAACCTGGGGACCTTCCTCAGTGGTCTCGGGGGGTGGGCGCTCAGCATCCTTGACTTGCATGGGGAGCATCTGCGCAGCCTCGGAGATCATGTAAACCTTGGTAATGTGGATCTCGAGGTGGCTGATGGAGGCGGACGAGATGGGGATCTCGGGCTTTTTCACAGTACCGGTGACCTGCACGATCGAGTTGACGTTCAAGCCGCCGGTGTACTTGATCATCTGTCGGGAGATGGGCTCAGTGGCCGCAATGACGGCCTGGACCTTCTGTCCCTGCTGGCGCAGCATCAAGAATGCAAGCTTGGCACTCTGCACACGCGCATTATCGACACGCGCCACAACCGTCACTTCCTTCTCGTAGTGTTCCTCTGAGAGTTCTGTGAATCGTGTAGACGGAACGACGTTCTCGGCCTCTGGGAGAGCACCGTATAGATCCTTGGCGGTGTCGTTGGCCTCCTGGGCGGCGGCCTGGGCCTTTTCTTGCGCAGCACGCGCCGCAGCCTTCTCTGCCTTGATCTTGTCCTTGGCGGCCTTCTTCAGAGCGTTCTTGCTGGCGTTCTTGGTCTCACCTTCCGCGGCGGGAGCGGAGGCATCTTGGGGAGCCTCGGGCTTGGGACGGTGGGGCAATTCGGAGTCGGCCATGGTGCTGTGAGGACAATTAGAGGGGGCAAAGTGATGAGCTGGGGCCAGTGGATCCTACCTTATGATTTTATATCCTGAGAAATTTGCAGGACTTAATGCAGCAGGCTGATTGTTAAGTAGAGCTGCAGAGAAAAGTGTTCCGTTGACTCACCCCGCCATGCCCTAAGAGGGGTAGGCGGTGTGCGGACTTGACCTATAGATCTAATATCTACCAGCTTGATTGTATACATGCAAGTGAGTCAGTTCTATGTGAGTCAGTTCTATGTACATTTGTTAATGTTAATACTTTATAAGTTGAATAAAATGCATTAGACGTGCTTATGTGGCTTGGCGCTGGCAGCTATCTAGAATAAACACCCATAAACATACAACCGGCGTCATATGCATGCTCATCTTCATATCAATATAGAGTGTCCAGCGTCCTCTGACAATCACGCAGCAGGCCAGCTCGAGCTCTTCAGTGCCCATTGGACACCCTTGTGCACATCATCAGCAATTGTCTGAGGAACCCAAGCAGGCTCCCCGCCACTGTATACACCAGTGCGGACAAGAATCGACTGCCAGCTACTGCCAATATCACTGCGATAGGAGTTGGCTCCTCGAATATCCGATTCGGGATTATCACCAACCATGTATACTCTCTCCAGAGGCGTGAGATTAGCAGAGCTCCCGAAGGTTCTCAGTCGGTTCCGAAGCAATTGACGCTCTGCAAACTCGTAGGTGAGTTGATAAGGTTTACCGATCACGGTCTTCTTCAACTCAATACCCTTGCTGGGACCACCTGTGGTCGCAGCCCAAACGCCCTCGAGCGCTTCTCGGAATCCACCCTGACCAAGACGGGGCAACGGGTAGGCGGCGGCCCACCACAGATCTGGATTAGAGAAGTACAGGTGAGGTTGGCCATCCTGTTGGTATCCATGGTTTGGAAGATCAATTCGGCCGTTCTTTTCAGACAAAGTGCCCATACGGCCTTGTGACGAGAGGAGAATGTCTATAATAACCTGAGTGTCCAAAGCCCAATCACGAGGGTCATTGAACACAAAGACGGCGTCGATCTTCAGACTCTTTGATGGATCATTGAAGTCAATGGGGCTCGGAAGCGGTCGGGCAAACTTTTTATAATAGTCGCTGAAGTTCTTGGAGAACGGCGAGACAGCGGGGTTGGCCATGAGAATATCCGCCGGGGTGACAACATTCTTAAAACCGTACCTATTATCATTGCTTAGCATATGCCATTTAGCGGCAGGAAGGGGTCTTTCACATACTGTTCTGCCACGCGCCGACAGTTATCCCCATCGCCTCCGGCCACTAACACACACTTGTGTTCCAGAGCGCTCGCCTCATCCGATCCCTTGACCAACCCAGCAAAGGGCGAGTGACTCTGCACAATGTCCGTAGCATCCAGGGAGACTCCTAGTTTCTCGCTAATCTCTGCGACGCGCTCTGTCTCGTGTTTACCGCCGCCATTTGTGAGCAGAATAAACGGTATGCCTTGCTCCTTCAGGAGAGCTAACGAGTCGGCGGCACCGGGGATAGGTTTCGACGCGCGGAGGAGGACGCCATCGATGCTATATCATGTGAGAAGAAGATCGAGTGGATTGCGTGCGCTGGTCAAGACTCACTCAAATGCAAATGCGAAGTTGGGGACCGGTCGAGAACTAGTAGAACTAGCTGTTTGGATAGCTCGGTGGGTGATAGTTTTCCGACATGAGATAGATTGGCGCTGCAATAGGCCAAATGACCGGTAAAGGGTTTGCGATCTCATGGTGGAATGTGTACAAAAAGGAAATGTACGTCATTGCCAGGTTCCCGTGTCGGCCAGATCTTCTCTCCGAACTTTCCCCACTCTCCCTTCACTACAACTTTCAAACTTCTAAACTTCCCTTTTGAAGCTGGAAAAAAAGGTACGAGTTTGAATCAAATGAACCATGGCTTAACCAGAATTTTCACTATCAGTTCTTCATCATCATCTTACAAACATGTACCTTCTCTAGTTCAACTACTCTCGCTTCATTAGATCTGTTGTATGGGCTGTGATATTGTACATTTCTCAGAAAATAGCTGATGTAAAGAGATTTGTATGCAAGTCCGATAAGAATGCATGGGCGATTAGCAGACTGGCTCCCTATCCATGACAACGACACCCATGTCCAAAAGAGAATCGAGTTCCTCCTCAGAACACTTATCGATGTTTTTCCACACCCGCTTGTCAATTTTTGCATGTAATGCTTCGGGTATTATCCTAAGACAACCAGGACTGAGACCGATATAGCACACCCGAGAAAGATGCGTGTTCAAGGCCTCACAAAATTCTTTGGCGTCAAACTCCGCAGGAAACTGCTCGTCATATGGTTCCGTGAGCTCTAGCTCACGAATTGAGATAGGAGAATCAAACATAGGCAGAATGAGTAAATCGTAAAGCAGATCAACGGGTATCCGAAGAGACTTCAAAGCAATGAGTGTCGATAAGATCTCAGATGGTCCCTCCTCAAACATCTCACGGTTGGAACGGTGAATGGTCAATCGCTGAAGCGTGGTGCAGAGCTGCTCGTTGATGAGGATCTCCTCTAAGGCGGAAGTGTCCAGATTCTCGCAACCACAAAATGTCAGCCCTACCAACTTTGAGGGCCACCTGAAATAAGACATTGTCTCGATATCAAATCTCCCGGCAACCTGGAGGAAACTCAGATTGGGTGGCCAATCTTCAGGGGATCCATCATCTGTGATAAACATTGAAGATGAAAGTTTAATCGTGATCAGTCTGTCGAGACCGCTGATGGCTTTCTTGAGAGCAGAAAGCGGAATTGGCTCAGCCACAAAGTCAAGGCAGAGATAGGAAAGATTTTTGCACTTGGCCAAGGGGGCAAGGCTGTTGATCCTACAGAAAGGAGTTAGTTTAGGGTTAGATGGAATATTGTGTTGATAAATATGCACTTACGCAAAAGAGACCCTTGGAGCAACAAATGTCTTCAGATTCTTTTTCACTCGACCTAGAAGCCGTGCCGTCAGGCTATTGGAGCTATGATGTACCAATCGCCCGAGGTTCAGGATATGAACGAACGAACCCAAGTCCGCCTTGCGCTCTCGCGAGCGAATTGAAGGGCACACAGTGTTGGTGAAAAGCGAGAAGCTGTTCCCTCGGTCAAGTTGAGGTCGGTAATAGAGGAATTCGATGCCAGCAGAGTACCACTGGCGCGAGACCGCGCAGAACCTTTGAAGTGTGACCTGAAAGAAGGGGCCATTGGGGTTACGCCAATCAGCAGAAATGAATCTGGCGATCTGTATTAACACCTCCGTAGGGAGGTGAACATATCGACGAGAAGTCATCACTTCGGATGAATCGATGATCTTTGACATTTCGCAAGTCAAAGAAACAAGAAATCTTCAAGTAGACATCGTAGAGCACGAGCGTGTGCGAAATATTATGTGGGAGGTTTCGTAACAATCAGGGATGAAGATGCGGTTGAAGAAGCAACAGAGAGACCAAACCGCTTCTAAGAGAGGCAAAGACACAGGTCATCTCAAGTGAAGCGGGATTGTTAGGCAATTTTCCTTCACTTGGTTGAGAAGGGGATCAGAAAGGACTGTGAGACCGGTGAAAAAAGGTCCAAGGAAAGTAGGTGGGTAAGTGATGAGAAAGACATGAAGGCGGGATGAGAGTAATTGAAGATGTAAAGATAGGCCGGCCGATGACGATCCTTATCTTTTCTTTTGCCGGCAGATGCGGACCCCCGCCTTTGATAAACAATTATTATTTACACCGCCTTGTGTTTGCTTGTGTACAATTCCAATGTTATATCTGGGATTATGAGAGCAGAATAAAACTGGAAATATAGTCCAAACTGTTGAATAAGTATTCCTTGTCCTATGGTCTTGTGTCACATTCAGAAAATAGGTCGTCAAGTCCATATTGTTGCAAACACCATTGAGCTGCTATCTACAGATGGCTCAAGCTCCTTCAATCTTACAGGGCTAGGTACCACCTTTACTTCACTATGCCCGACAAGAGAATAGCCACCATGTCACCCCGCCCCTTGAAACGTGCTCGGGTATCTTATGACGAAGATGATGATGAAGCATCTTCGGCGGCGTCTTATGAGCGTCCCCGTCAGCATCCCCTCTATGGGCAGAAGAGCGCGTTTCCGGGTTTGGATGATGGAGGCGATGGACTGCTGTACGATGATCCAGAGGATGGATTAGAATATCTACGCATGGTTCGGTATGTTTACCCTTTGATCTAAAGAGCCTTTTTGGTCTCCTAAGCGATGCCGAGACTTTCCCAGTTCTGCGCAAGTCCAAGTTTGGAATTAATTTTTGCTCGATAGATCCGAAGCAAACTCACTACCTGTGCTATTTTCTGCGCCTACCCAGACAACAGACCCGTCAAATCTAGCATCGAACGCGCAACGTGATCTAAAACCACTTGATCCAAACAATCCTCCTTTGCCAGCAGGCTTTTACGAGGACGAAGCCTATATTGCTCCTGTGGGGGATCTGTACGAAGACAACGCCGCACATTCCCCTTCAAAACTCGATGAACTCTACCCCGATGCGCAAAGATCATACAACAATCTTCTCCGACATCGATTCCTCCTCTTGCGATCGACCCTACGATGCAGTCCACCCGCAGGTGCTATCAATACCCTCGACAATGACCACCCTATCAGCCTCCCCCGAAAGGCCGGGTCTGCGCACAAAACATGGCGCCGGCTTTTGGTTACAGTCGAACCACTCATGGTGCAACTGGCAAGCATGGACATGGACAGCGTGCTAGAAGTGCTGGAAATACTAGCGCGGATGATGTCTGATGTTGTGCGCGGTGACGACACCCAGCGCGTACGGCGCATTGGAGCCTGGGCTTGGGGCTTGTTGGGGAAGTGCCGTGAGGTTGGACAACTTTCTACTCGAGAGGTGGGAGTTATTCGAAATCTAGGCAAACGAGCTGCGACGATTTTGCGCAAGGTGCAAGAGCTAGAGAACGACGAGTATGAGGAGGAGGTTGATTCTTCTGTGGCAGACCTACCAAAAGATGAAATCCAGCAGGGTACTCTCGTTGAAGATGAGAAAGATGCCAAGGGAAAAGCTCAGCAGGGATATACAGTCCAGGACGAGGAAGCGACCAAGCAGGAAACTCAGCCGGAGGTTACAGTTCAGAATGAGGAGGAAAGCAACCAAGAATTGCCGAAGAGTGCGGAAGCAGAAGACATTAGCATGCCTGATGCATCGCTAGCACAATTCGAGTTGGAGGCGGCCAAGACCCGCTTGCAAGCTCGGCTGCAGAACAATTTCGACTCTGTTGAGACATCTGCTAGCAGTGAAGAAGAAGAAGATGACTGGTCGATTCAGACCCATGCCCTGCTCGACATGATCATGACAGTGGTTGGTGAGTTCTTTGGTCAGCGGGATCTGTTGGCTGAACGTGAGATCTGGGATTAAATGTATTTGATTTGCACGTATGATATACCCATTGTTAGTTAATATTAATTCCGTGTTACAACGTGCCGATGTCTTGTGCTCTATATATGTAGTGCTGATCATCCCGAGGTCATATCGGGTGCTTGGTCTAAGCTTCCAAGGTTTTGCGTCATGCCCCAACCTCAGACTCCTTATCTCTTTGTTTTCCTCAACTTGTGAGAAGAATGATACTTTCATTCCAATCCTAATCAAAATGGCGCCAACTGTTGAAATAGCGATCCCGAATACCACCCTCTCAAACACCTCCCCGCCATACACCGTCTACCATATCACCCTCCGCCTCCCGCTCCGCTCCTTCACGGTCCCCAAACGCTACTCGGACTTCGCAACCTTCCACAGCACCCTCATCTCCCAAACGAATGCCCCTCCACCAGCTCCCTTACCTTCAAAAACTTGGTTTTCGAAAACGGTCTCGAACGAACGATTGCGCGAAGACCGCCGTCGCGGCCTAGAGGAGTACCTTCGCGCGATCAATGAGTCTGAAGATGGGCGCTGGCGCACCTCGCCCGCATGGCGTGCATTCCTCAATCTGCCCACCGCAGTCGCATCAACGGGCAACGGATCAACAAACACCTCCACCCGACTCCACGCCGCCATCACAGACCCAGCCGCTACAAACGCACCCATCACAGACCCGACGCTATGGCTTGACTACTACCGCGACATGAAGAACCACCTCCATGATGCACGACTACAATTATCTCGCAGAGACCAGGAGACAACCCCACAGAAGCAACACGAGAGCTCTGCACAGGCGAAGGGCAGTCTTGTCCGTGCGGGGACAATGATCACCACTCTGGACGAAGGACTGAAGAATCTAGGGCGCGATAAGAGCTCTGCATTGTCCAGTCTCGGTGGAGGCGAGATCCGCCGACGAAAAGACCTGCTCATTAATGCGCGCAAGGAAAAAGACGGTCTAGAGGATCTCTTGCATGCGATGGCAACTAAGAGCCGGCTTGACCATACTGTCGCATCTATCCAAGATAAAGAAGCTTTGATGAATGCTGGGAATGGCGCTGGGGATGCGGCTAGTGGGCGTAGGACGCCGGCGCGAGCGGGTAGGGTCCTTGGTAAAGAGACGGAACGGACTCGAGAGCTTGATAACGATGGGGTGTTGCAGTTGCAGAGGCAGATGATGAAGAGTCAGGACGATAATGTGGATGAGTTGAGGAAGATCATTATTCGACAGAAGGAACTTGGCACGCAGATTAATGAGGAGCTCGAGGTGCAGAATGATCTGCTGAGGTTGGCGGATGAGGAGGCTGATATGTTCGTTCACATCCTTTTTTCACTTTTTCCACTTGTTTTGATTTATCTTACTAACGAGGTGTCTAGATTGAAATCCAAGATGGATATTGGAAGGAAGAGAATCGGGAAGATATCTTGATTTTGACTGTGCATGTTTTCCAATTTGCGTAGAGAATTTCTTTTATCTATACGTTTGAGCGGGTCGTTTCAGCATCGTTCAAGCCAATTTATCTGCAAATAGCATCTTGGTCTTGTATACCATTCTTCTTACTTGCGCGGATATCGTTTTGCCCAGTAATAATCTTCTAGAATGGGTAGCAGGCGCAGGTTCCCATTCTCAGTCGCTTCAATCCGAGCTCTGTCAAGTCTATCCTCCAACTCCTCCAAGGGAACTCCTTTCCGATCGATCGCGTCAAGCATGAGGTTGAGCACTGCTTTATCGCCCAGTCTCATACATGCTAGGAATGGGTCATCGTGTCCATCTTGGCCTATTAAATTCTTGGGTTGCCGCACAAACTTAACCATTCTCCTGGGAGGACCGTCATCATCCTCGGTCCCGGTATTGGGACTTGGGATTGACCGTCTACTCCTGAATGGTGAGTCGGAATGAGCGTGGGCATCACTTGTCTCCGTCACGAGTGCAACCCAGTGGTCATGCTCCGCGAAAGGATCTGCACCTCTCTCCAACAAGAGTCGTACCTCTGCTTGATCGCAAACCCACTCCTTTTTGGCATTGACGTGCATGACAATCCGGTACAAGGGAGTCATGCCAGGATAACACCGTTCCTCGATATCAGCACCATGAGCTAGGAGCAGATCAAGGATGGCTGTGGCATTACTGCTACCATCAGTGTGAGGAGAATATGTTGCAGCCACTGGCAAAGATAACTGAGTGTAGAGTGAGGGCAATTTGGGATCGACCCCTCGTTCGAGCAGTCGCTTCACCACCCCGGCCATCCCAAATTGGACAGCGTGCACTAATCCTTCTTGTGCCTCGTTGCTCTCAGGGTCAATTTTCAATAGTCCCCGATCCAAGACCAGCACCGCCATTTCTTCACCTCCCAAGAATGCCTCTTCTATCAGTTTCTTGGGACTCGTTGGGAAATTAGGACCCTGGTGGTTCCTGGGCCTCTGTTGCTGCTTGGGTAATGGAGGCATTTCCAGTGCAATGCCCCTCTCCACCAATATTTGTACAACATCCACTGCACCAAAGTACAATGCCCTGGTAATAGCATTTTCGCCCGAGGATGGATTAAATCTGCCATCAGCATATAATGCAGTTTTCGTCGGATCGGCTCCTCGATCAAGCAACATGCGAAACATCTCGGCGGATACCATCGCAGCCTCGGCCAAAGCCGTTTCTCCACGGCTGCTTATGCAGTTTATGTCAGCCCCGTGGTCGAGTAAAAGCTCTGCAATTTGTACATTGCCCAATTGGATTGCCAAGGAAAGTGCGCCTTCATCCATGATTTCTCCTGGGTACTCCTGTGTATTGGCACCATGCTCGACAAGGACCGTTATTTCTCCCTGGTACTCTTGTATATTGGCGCCATGCTCAACAAGAAGTTTGGTAATTCCAATGTGGCCGTTGTCAATGGCTTGAAGTATCGGCCTCTCGTACCGTGTTTCACAGCGACGATAGACACCATCTGCAGAAAAGCCATGCTCCAGAACACGCTTCACAATATCCTCCCACCCATAGCCAATGGCTATATAAAGAATCTCAGCTCGTGCTTCGTCATCTTTGTCATTTATCATATCCTCAAAGTCGGCGAAGGTTCGAAAAAACTCAGCGAAAGCAGCCTTTTTCTGCCTATCAACTGATCCCCAACTTGTATTTCCGATTATCGACGATAACAAGAAGCATTGTTTTGCTGGATCTTTGGGGTATATATCCACTCCACGCGCCAACAGAAGATCAAGGATTGGCAGTTGACCGTGTATAGCTACATGGTAGAGTGTACTCAGCCAACCTTGAGCCATATCAGGATCGGGATCCGCTCCATGATTCAAGAGCAATTCCAGGATCTTCACGTGGCCATGGCCAGCCGCACCCGAGAGGGCCATTGAACCACAAAATCTTTTGTTGGGATCTGCTCCCCGTTCCAGGAGCAATTTGACCATTTCCAGGTCCCCATTTTTAGCAGCAGACATGATAGGTGGTTCCTCTTGAGGCGAGGGTTCGGCCCCTCCATCCAGCAAATATTCAACCAATTTTGTATTACCCTGAAGGACTGCCGCATGGAGTGGTTGTTTATGCCAGTATACGCTTTGTTTGTCGTTCAATGCGTAGCCAGCCTCGATGAGAACTTTCACAACGGCTAGGTGACCGTTTTCTACTGCCGCAAATACAAGATCGAAACATGTTTCACCGCAGCAGTCGTGGTCATGTTCGAAAGTGACATTATGGGCAATCAAGAGCTTGACAATAGCCACGTTGCCACGCACTGCTGCCAGATATAATGGATGTAGGACTTTTGAGACGGCCTCGGATCTCTGATCTTCGCATTGCCTGCAGCTCTGATTTTGTATGAATATACCAGGGCCTTTGTTTTGTTCCAGTATCAGGCGCACGATAGTCTCATTGCTGTTGTCGACTGCCGCGACCAGCGATCGTCTGAAGTTGTAATGACAGGAATGTGTGAGGGCTCCAGCATCAAATGCTCGGCGGATAGTCAATTCGGAGCTATGCTTTGCTGCCCATACAAGGGGGAACCCATGTAATGAGCGATTGCTGTTTTGATAGAGGATTGGGTTCAATAGCAGATGTAGTCGCGAACATGTTTGCGCCAAAGAATTTAGATAACGCGCTTCCTTGAGGAAGTTGATGATTATGTGGATCAACTCGGCTGGGAGATGTATGAGAGACATTGAGGGCATAGGGGATCGAGAGGCAGAAGAATTGAGTTCGAAAATAAAAAAAAAGGCAAAGTGATGTGTCTAAATGATTAAAGGTGGGGGGTAAAGAGTCACTTGGCGGCCCCCTCTATGCAAGTAATCGTTTGATTTCCCCGGATATCTACTTATCATTTCATTATATGTGAGATATGTATTTAAATAGAAGACCACACCTTGCTTGATGTAACTATAGAACACTGTGCTACGCAAATTTTGGGAACTATGGCGTTATGTAAATCTAGGTACATATATAAAATAAGGGTAGATGCCGGGGGTCAGAGCGGGATATCTGACATTCTATGCTGACCTGCATATCCGGCCCCGGTGAGTTCAGCTTATGCAGCCCTAATGCACTGGCCCAGGCACAAGGCATACAAGGCACACCGCAAAACTCAGTTTCTCGAGACACGTATCTTCAAAAGATATATGTTATGGAAATATCAGGCCATATCGTTGATGATTTTTACTGTTATGTTATCTAATCCAAAATTGAGATTATTTATATCTGAGGCTCCACGGATGTAGACACATCAACAGATCGGGTCACTCCTATGCCACCAAATGTCATCCTCGGCGGGCCTCCTTGCTCACTATTACCGTGAATGATTGTCTCAATCTTCGGGTTTCCCTGTGCATTGTACATGAGCACATCTTCATCTGACCCTGTCCCCCTAGCACTCATTTGGTTTTTGCTTCCGTTCATTGTGCCCTGGTTTCGCATGGTGCTCATTTTGTAGTCGGACTCGAGGGTTGCTTTGTTACTGGAATATTCGTGGTAGATGCGGATGATGAGAGCCGAGAGGGAAGGGAGACAGGTGCAGATAATACCGATGGAGACTTCCGCGTTACTAGAAATAATTTCTCATTTAGAATGTTTAGTCAAAAAGATAGGCTGAGAGGAACATACCCTAGCATATTAATTCTCATAAACGCACGAGAAAGATCCTTCGACTGTCCGGTAATGACAATAAGTGCCAACCGGATGATACTGGCCGCAACAGCCAGGCCACCCGCTCCCAAGATAGCCATAACCCGCATCTTTTTCTTCGTAGACATTTGCAGAGTCAAAGTCAATGGCAATGGCAAGATGAGAACGATCATATCACTGACCACACTGACGACAGCATCAGCCAAGATGATCGATGTCTGGTCTAAACAAGTGCCGTCAATCCTCTGATCCCAGAATTTGGCGATGGGGTTGCAGATTCGGATTTTGACAATGACAGCCGGGATGTAGTAGGCCAACATGATTCCCATAAATATCCGAATAAACATGACACATTTTCGGAAGGGACTGAATACACGAGTCATGATCCAGAGGAGACACACTTTTGTGAGATAGGCGGTTGGTCCATACATGACCATTGTTACATAGATAGTCTAGAGGGTCAGAAACCGGGTAATCGAGCGTTCGAATGCTTTGCATACCTTCTGGAAAGGAATCTTGTTCTCATCGGGGACGTCCCACCAGTGTAAACCTCCTCCATAATGACCCACTATCTTTGCGTTAGATACAGCTCGTCGCATGTGGTACTAGAGACATACTGAGGAGGGCAATGATTGAGTAACAAACGCCGAGAAACTGTTCGAGGTATTTGTTAACCTATGTTCCCCCCTCTTCCCACGTGTTAGTCCTACCCAGGCAACTGTACATGTCCCTATAGAGGCTGTCAGTATTTCTCCGTTTGGTGCGCTTCCATCCAAAAATTTCACTCACAATCCTCCTTCCCAAATCCGTTGAGAATGAACAGTCGAGTATAAACACGAAGACCAAAGAAGGCTGTCATGCCAATGATACATAATGACTGGCAGGCGTAGTTCCATTGCTGCACACTCCGATCAATGGATGCATCCCCAGAGCTCCGTTCAAACAACAACATGGAACGCATCACGGATTATCATAAGTCTAGAATTAGTAACGGGGGACAGCTGTTTCAAGACAACCCCGTCTTTTAATAATGTAATGCCCTCGGGATCTAGACAGGGAATCAGCTCGAAAACTGGGTCTAATTTTAAACCGACCTGCTTTCACGAACTCCATATTTGAAATCGGGCTATGATCACCCACGATCGGCTCCCCTGAGATGGAGAAAACACTAATGCTGTCAACGAGAACTCTATTAGAGATGCCAAGCGTACCAACACCACTAGGTGCTCAGGGTTGATGCGCCACAGCAAACGCCAAATTTTCAGAAATTGGTCATCATTTGTATGTCCTGCCCATACAATGGATACTTAGGG